CCTAAACCTCCAAACCAAGAAAACCAAATCCCATGAGGTTTTTAGTTGTGCATAATCAGCCTCATCAGCTACAACTTATTGACAGCAATTACAATAATCAGCTGTACAATAATTGGCCTCCTTTGCCATGAGATCAGAAGAAATGGATGGTGCCTGGCTACTACTACTGAACATTTTGATCAAAGATTCCATAGAAGAATCTTGATTAAAAGGGGGAAAATGCAGAACAGAATTTCTAATTCTCATGGGCTCTAGACTTTCTGAGCCATGAAGATTGGATAACCCCTCAAACTATTGCCCTGACAGAATCTTTAAACCTTAAATCAAAAATATCCCCTCAAGTCTTCTTAAAACCAAACAATAGTTTAGCTTAACCAGTCAAAAATGTCTGCCTTGAAAATTATGCTCTTTTAAGAACTATCCATATGGGATCAAATTGACAACAGCAACTCAAATGATTAGATAGGAACTTTAGGAGGCAGCGCAATTATGTTAATGGGGGAGAACAATTCAGAAAAGGAGGGTGAGAATGGTACACAACTCAAAGAATGTAACCAATGTCACTAAATTATATATGTAGAAATTGTTGAATTGTATGTTTAGCATACAACAACAACAAAATAAATAAAGTTATGCTTAAAAACTGATAAATGGGACTTTATGAAAATTAAAAATGCCTGCTCATCAAAAGACACTGTTGAGAAATGAAAAATGCAAGCTACAGTCTGGGAGGGAATATTCTCATTGCATATATCTGACAAAGGACTGGTATTCATAATATATAAAGAACTTCCACAAATAATAAAGACAACCCAATTTAAAAAAATGAACCCAATAAAAAAGTTATAAACCTGAAAAGATACTTCACAATGAAAGACATAAGAAGACATAAGGCCAATAAACACATTGGTATATACTGAATTGTGTCCTCCCAAAAACACAAGTTGAAGTCGTAACCCCTATACCTTTGACCTTGTTTGGGGACATACAGTCTTTCTTTGAATAACATCAGTTAACTTATTCCACAGCACGGTGATTCCTAGTCCTAATTCCTTCTGAGCTGTGTCTTACAAAGGAGAGAGCAAACATAGAAAGTTGCACACAGGGGGAAGACACTATGTGAAGACACATCTACAAGCAGCTCCAAGGGTTGCCAGCAGCTACTAGAAGTTAGGACAGAGGCATGGAAAATTTCCGCTCATAAAGACTTCAGAAGGAATTCACACACTGACACTCTTGATTTAGACTTCTAGCCCCTAAAACTGTGAGAAAATAAATTTCTGTTCTTTAAAGTTACCCACTTTGTGGGCTTTTGTTGTTTTTTTTTTTTAATGGCAACCCTAGGAAACTAAGACATACATGAAAAGGTGCTCAACATCATTAGTCATCAGGCAAAAGCAGATTAAAACCTCAATGAGATATATTTTATATCCGCTAGAAAAGGTGAAGTTAAAAAGATTGACAATGGTGAGAATGTGGAGCACTGGAACTCTCACAGATTGCTGGTAGAAGTGTAAAGTGGTACAATCACTTTGGCAAACTGTTAGTTTCCTATAATTTAAACATAAATCTACTCTATGACTTAGCAATTTTACCCCTAGGTAGAAGAGAAATGAAAACAAATCCATATCCATAAAAGACTTGTATAAGGATGTTACGCTTCATAAAGCTCCAAACTGAAAACAACCCAAGTGTCTATCAAAAGATGAATGGATAAACACAGCATGGTATATTCATCGAGCAGAATACTACTTGGTAAAAAAAATGAACAAACTGATACATGTGACATGGATGTATCTCAAAAACATGTTGAGTGAAAGAAGCCAGAGGCAAATTAGATGTACCATAGGATTCTATTTTTATGAGGTTCAAGAACAGGCAAAACTAACCTATGGTGATAGAAATCAGCCTCTGAGGTACGGGTAGGGGATTGGCTAGAAGGAGCATGAAATAACTTTCAGGGATAGCGGAAATATATCTTAATGAGGTAGTGGTTACATTGGTGTACACAACTGTCAAAGTTCATCATACTGTACACTTGTGACCTGTGCCATTTTATTGTATATACATTAAACTTCAATTAGCATAAAAGGAAATGAAAAGAACTGACATAGTTTCTTGACCCCCAAGGCAGTGCTTTTTTTAAGACCCCACTCTACTAATTTGTCTTTGATATTATCAATCAATCACCATAAGGACTTTGAAGGGACAAGCACAAATATTGCTTAAATCACTAAACAATCACAGGCACTGAGCTCAAAAGGTCTAATTGATTAGGTCCTTAATTTGGGGAAACGGGGCAAGGACAGAGAAGAAAGAATCAATATATACAATGTTATGGTAATTCATTCAACAAATACATAATAATCCCCTACCACATGTTAAGCAATGTTCTAGGAGATGGGGATATATCAATGAACATACGGAGCTTATATAAATAAATATATATAATAATTAAGTAAATTATATAGTATGTTGAGATACTATATTTCTTTCCATTGTTGAGGACGGGATGTGCAGACCCTCTGGTTTAAGTGACAATATTTCATATATAGCAGCTTCAACTCATAAGCTGGTCTCTTGAATTTGAATCCCTTCTTTGAGTGGATTGGTCAGGACAATTTATTCTACATGTCAGGGCATATTCATAGTCCTGTACTATGCTTGACTTGTGTTATATTGGTAAAGGCATCAACTTTTAACAAATCTTTCAGCTCAGACTTCTGGAAATCAGAAGTAACATCTTGTGGTACTTTTTCTTATGATTAAACATATAATAATGATGATAATAATAAAAGAAACATAAATAAGTGCTCCTTAGAGGTAAAACGGAAATGGTTTCTGTAGTTTGGATAATCCAACTTACTTATTTCGTTAATCACGTCACCTACATGAATCCACCCTGGGCTATAAAGGGCGCTCACATCATTACAAGGACAGGTCACTTACAGGAACAACTAGGGACATCAGAGATTATTCCTCACTTTAGTTGAGTCTACACAAAAACCCTCTTCAATTAAAACAAAAATCTGTTTAGAAGCCACTCTGAGGGCCTCAACCAGTGACAATGGCTTTATATATAAGATTATATGAAAAATCCAAAAGACAAAATGAAGGTCATAGTCAATACCATCAGGTAAATCCAGATTACTCTAGGTCTTCTCCAAGTTTTAAGGGGATTCAGAGATCACGAAAGAGGAAAAAACTGGAGGGAGCTTTAAATGTAGTAGAGTGTTCTGGAATGGTTTTGTAGCATGACCTAGGAATGGGCACTGCCAAGCCCTGAGGTCTAATATTTTGATTCTCCGTGGCCTCACAGCCTCTGCTAGCCTATCAGAATAACAGGAAAAAAATACCTTCAACATTGAGGACTCTTACTGAAAGGGAATCATGACTTCTCAGGAAGGAGAGGGTCTAGGCAAGCTGGGAGAGAGTAAGAGTGCTGCTACCTAGGGAGGAAAAAAGAGGAATGAAGACTGGATCTATCCAGACTGATGTCTCTGGTTTAAAAGTTCTTGACTCAAGTTTAGATGCTACCAAGTAATGTCTCACTGTTCTAATAGCTCAGTAAGAACAACTAAAATGTAACATTCCAAGCACTGATGAATGAAAAACAATTTATATTTTAATTCTGAAAGTACTATGCATGCTTTTGCTAGCACAAGGGTGTTTGCTGAGATAAGCATCAGGTAGAGTCAGGAATTTTTTGCTTTCTTTCTTTTTACATGTTTAGAGTCAATAAAATTGACAGAATGGTGAGGAGGATAGGAGAGGTGAAGGAGTAAGAGACTGGTAATAAAGATTAATGGTCTTGTGGTAAATGTCCTCTACAGTACTTAATGCCTAAAGGACAACAACAAAGGAAATGAAGGATGAAAACAGAAGAAAAGTATATTAAAAAAATGCATACATGCTAAAGAGGGGCAAGCAATTAAGGAGGCACTAAACCAAGCAGTGTAACTTGGGCAATTAGTGCTAGGTCACTGGCCTTAGGATAAACAGGGTGTCCAAACCGATGCAGCACACCTTGGAAAGTTTATTTCTCACATTTGGGTAGGTACCACGGCAAATGCCAATGCGGTAACTTTGCCCTGTACTGTACTTCGTGTACAGCAGCTCTACAATGGGCAGACTGCTCAAAGGGGCAGCTTCAGCTCCTTCAATTATCAAGTAGACCAAAATTTTGCTAAAACAAGAGAAAAATATAGGACAGTCTTTCTCACGAGTAAAGAGGAAATTAGTAATTCCTGTGACTATCTTAAAACAAAAAGTCTTAGAAAGATGAGAAAGTTTCCATTTTTTTATTGCAACACTACAACCCACCACCTCTGCAAAAAGAAAAAAAAAAAAAGGGGAGGGGGGCAGGGGAAACTAATGAAAACAAACAAAAAAATCATGAGTGAAAACTGTTCCTGGAAACTTTGCAGACTTGTAAACTGATTGGTAGAGCAAGATTATAAAATGACTATTAGGATTCATTGTGCACAACAGAAAGTGCTGAAATGTCAGCAGACTATACAGCAAAAAGTAATGGGTTCTGAACCCCTGTTAGTCAAAAATGATTTTGTTTCAAATTAGAAACTGATTTTTTTTGGACACAAGCCCTTTCCAGGCTTCTGGCTTCTGTAGCTGGGCCTAGGAGAGATTAACCTCCACCATAGCAAGGGCTGGCTGATGACACCTTTCCCAAAGTGCCTTTTCAATTGCTGTTTTCTAACGCTGTTGTGGTCTTAACCAATAACACAAGTTATTTGTCCCTTTCCTATTATACTATATTTTTTCTCATTTGTCCATTTTATTTTAGTGCTGACACATAGCACAAATTTGTTGACAAGTTAACGGGAGAATACGTTAAGCCTTGCAATGTAACCACCACACTATTTTGACTGGTTCTCCACTCTCCAAAGGGCAATGATAGAGGATAGAGGAAGCCGAAGTTAAGAGTTTTCTATTTCTGAAGGACTACTAACAAAGAAAGTAAAGAAAATTGATCTCATATAGTAGGTCTCCTCAATTTCATTTTTATTTTTTGTAGCAAAGTCTAAAAAGAAGTTTCTAAGTTGTCCTAAAGCAATGGAGGTCTGCAGAACTTTTGCCTTATGTCAAATAAACTAAACTTTTGCCTTTGTTTCAAATTGTGGATAGTCTCCCTTTTGAAGTTTAAACCAATTAGTCATCTCTCAACTATCTGGAAGAGGATTAACATTTTCTAAATTAATCATAATTAAAACCAAAAAACATGACAAAGCTGGCAGCAGGTGAGGAAAGGTAAGGAGAGGCAGATCTGCAAGATCGTTTCAGTAAGCACTGCCTAATTCTCAAATAATAAATGTGAGAGTGGCTAAACTAGACAGGTTCTAAAATGTTGGTTGCTTAACATCAGAGGTGGAAAGATGCTAGCCCAGTAGAAAAAAAGTTAAAAAAGAAAGAAATTAGGGTTAATAGCGGTGACAGGAAAGAAAGATGGCTGGGAAAGAGGTGCTGGCAGAAGAGGCTCAGAGACCTTTCTTGGTCCTTTGTTTCTTGTACATCTCTTCTGCACAATGAAGCTCAGATTTGCCCCATTCTGTTTTGAAGTCCTTCCCTAAAGGATACCAGGATAGATTAAGCCAAAAGTCACTCTGGGAACAACTGGGAAACACAATTAAATGTGACTTTGTCACTCAACATCTCATGCAGTTATCTATAACTGATTTCTTTTAAAATAATCGGCAGCAAATAAAATGGGAAGTATTACTGGCTAGGGAACATATGCCTAAGACTTTTGAGGTTTTGTTTTAGTCACAATATGGAGTTATCCATGGCCTCTGCTCAACCTTCCCCTATATTTCCTGTTAATTAAAGACATACTACAGATGTTGGGGTTTACTTTACCAGGAGAAATTTATGTTCAATTTCTTGCCCTCTTTACTCACCATGAACATTATTTTGTGTCTATAACCATACTCACTGCTGAATAATTCGTATAGTTTGCTGCCTGCGGAAAGAAGGACAAATTGGATATAGTTTCTCACATCAGTAGTCTAAGAGAAATGCAGATGCAATTTACTGATCTAGTGGATGTGCTACCTGTGGCCTTTCAGGCACATGTCAGTTTGTAACATATTTAACTCTTGATCAGAGTTGTAGGAAATCATCTGGAGTCCATCGGCCAGTAGCCATCAGCAATTACTTGCTCCCAAGAACTTCTCATTTTGTTCCTACAGCTTACCTCTTTGGGGTCTACATGTATCCTTCTTTTGACATGTCCATAGGGCATCTTCATCCATCTCTGACTGAAACTCAACTGTTTTCTTCTCCCTCCTATTCTCTCCACTGCTAGTGGATTCTTGGAACTTTTTGATGGATGGTGATGTTTGAAGCAGCCAGCTGTCACGTTTTGACTTCAATAAACTGAAAAGGACAAACATAAATGACTGCAGACAGCATGGAAGGAGATACAAATCATACAAAGGAGTTTAAATTTAGCATGTGTCAAAATGCAATTCGTGGCAGTGAGAACTTTTGTTTTCTTATTTTTTATTAAGGTACAATTTAAACAATTTACTGAAGGTCTACATTGTGACCTGCCATAGTAATTGTGGAGAAGAAATGGTGTTTATTTTCAAAAAGCTTACATTTGGAGCTGGGGAAATGAGACTCACATCTGTGAAACTGCTAATAAAGCCATAGAGCATGATTAAGAACCAGAACATATGTATAAATAAAAAAGTATGCTAAAACAAGGCTCGCATTTCTAAAATGCTTTCCAGGTACTAAAAATGAGCATTAGGGATTAAAATATCACAATTTACCTCAAAATGCATTTGTGTTTCTCATTTTCAATTCTTATAGCATTTATTGTGCACCCAGGATATATAAGGAATAGCGCAATAGTGGATATGGAAGAAGTGGACTCTGTCCTCACATAATTTCATGATAAAGTCAACAAGGCAAACATGGAGTCAAAGGCATTTTAATGAAAATGAACACTCGTACATGTGTTTTTCTGTCTCCCTGGCCCTTGACCAGGATCCCAAACATGTTCCTATCATTAGGACATTTCCTCTTATAATACTTTATTATTTCAGGGAGAAATGTTCTGATGTGCGTATCTAACCCTATTCCACCAGTTCGCTCCTTCTAATTTAAGTTTTCCACAGACTCATGACACTTTGGTCTTCCCCATGCCCATAAGCAAACTGCAAATTAAAGTCAAGAAAAAAAGACTGGGAAACAGGTAGAGGCAGCTACTCTAAAAGCACGATTCTTAAAAATTAAGATGTCTAAACTCCTCAGAAGCAGAGATAAACTCTAAATAAGAATAAATTGAATAGAGTATTATTGAATCCATTACTAATCCAAGGTGGCCCTTGACCAGCATTCAAATCACAGAAACCCATCAAAGAAATTGGGCTTCTGGTTTGGTTTGTCAGAATTTTTAGTAGATATTTGCTCATATGATAATTTATCAACAAAAACCAAGAAGTTAAACAGCTTTATGATCAGTGATATGAAGAAACAGAAACTATTAGCAATATAGCTTTATATGGGCATATTGCAATATATCAAATATATACTTTTAATTTTACCAAAACCCAGGGATCACTCTCCCATGCAGACCCACCACTGGATGCGTGTCTGAGGCTACATAACTTCTATTCATGGGACAGGAAAATACCGAGATAAAACTACCTCACTATGAACATAATATAAATTTACCTTAACCCAGAACCCTACCTAAACCCAGGCAAGCCCAACGACTACATCTCTGCTTATTCCTATAGAAAAATTCATGTGACCAAGACTACTGGCTTCCCTAAAAATTCATTCACTCTCACCTCAGGTGAGCTCCCAATACCAGCTAATATTGATTGCTCCCAATACTGGTTGCTTCCTGCTTTTATGTGCCTGTATTCAAAACTCCCTCCTGGTAATTCCCCTTCTCAACAGGGGACTTGGCTTCTAATTTCCCTGAAATAAAGATGACTATTAATTTTTTTAAAAATTCTTCCTTCATTTGCATTTATTTTCATCTTCACTCATCTACGATTTCTCTCAAGGTCTCAGGAGAAAATTACACCTTGGATTTGTACTCTTGGTACCATCTTGACTCATGCCCTCTGAGACCATGGCCTGTCAATCATCGCCTTTCTTATAACTTAATGTCTTTTTGACTGGATTCCTTCCATAGGATTACAAACAATATCAGACCTGCCATTAAGAACCAAAACCAAAACCTAAAACCAAAAACTCTTCCCTTAAGTGGAAAAGCATAATAATACCCAATGTCAGGAAGGCATGGGGAAGAGTACTTTCACATACTATTAGAGCAACTGCAAATAGGTATAGCCTTTTTGTGTCAACACTTATCTAAAACGAAAATGTACCAACCCTTCCAACAATTCTACCTCTAAGAATTTATCCTACAGAAGAACATGCATAACAGCCTGAGAATATTTGTTAAAGGATGGTCACTGCAGAATTATTTGTAAAATTGAAGGCAAATATCATTCAATAGGAGAATGGGTAAATAAACTAGGATACATCCATTACAAGAAATACTATTCAGCCATTGAAAAGAATGAGGTAGTTCTCTCCACTAATGTGAAGAAACTTTATGACATGCTATTAAATTAAAAAAAAAAGCAATTGTAGTAATAAAATGTATAATACGATCTAATTTTTGAAAAAACAAAAGTATAAAAAATATTTTGAAAGTTCTGGATGGATAAACACCAAACCAGAGGGGAAACATGGAACTAGGGTAATGGAGAAGTCTTTTCTATTATAATTTATATGCTTTTGAATGTCTTAATTTCTTCCAGTGGGTATGTACTTTTTTTTTTTTGCAATTAGAAAACAAAAACAAAAACTTTCACTATTTTGCTTACATTACTACTTCCTCTCTCTTCCCTTATCTGCCAAACTTCTAGAAAAAAAGTAGTTTAACAGACATACTCACTAAACCTAATTTTTAAAGAACAAATCTAACAGCTTTTCCTCTTTTCAGCAGTCTTGTTTCTTACTAGACCACTTCGTAGTAACTGACTCTTAAAACTTTTTCTCCCTTGACCTTCATAATATATTATCCTGGTTGGTTTCCTAGTTTTAGGAGGCTTCTACTAAGATTCTTTTGCCGGGAACTCTTCTACTTACTTCCCCTAAAGGTAGACTTTCTTGAAGATTCTGTCCTTTTCCTTCTTCCCTTCTCCCTCAGCACTTTCTGTGTCAGTAATCCTTGCTGCATTTCTATATAGATTCCTCTCACCCACAGTGGTCTCCAGAATTGCTGACCTGATTAAGTATCTGCTGTGAAGGGATGTCTTCTCATGGCCTCCCAAACCAACTCATGCTAATGTAATGCATTATCGTTATCTTGAAACTAGTTCCTCTTTCTGTTTCCATTTTCCTTTAATGATATCACCATCCTCCCAGTAGCTCTCATAAAAAATCTCAGTTGTCTTAACAACTTCTGCTTTCCTTAATCCTATTCAATCAACTGCCAAATCAATCGTTCTAATATAACAACCAGATATTTATTAAGGACATACTCTATAGACCTTATAATGTGCTATGAGGCTGGGGTGCATGAAATGGAAAACAAACATTTATTGAGTATTTGTTATATGCTAGTTGCTATGAGTCAGAATCCACTTGACGGCAACTAACAACAAGATATACAAACATGAACAAGACCTGGTTCCTGTTTTCAAAGGGAGTGTAGTGGTAGACAGATACAGAAACAGATCATTTTTAATATCATATGATAAATGCTATACTTCCAGATTACAAAGGCAGGGCACCTAACCCAATATGCATGACTGAAGGAGATTTCTGAAGCATCTGAAGTGAATCTTGGAGGATAAGTAGGGGATAAGGAAGGATGGAGAGGTGTTCTAAGGAAAAGAAAAACGTATTTAGGACATATACCAACAAGTAAAACTTCATAATATATTTTGGGTAAGGTTAAATAGTTTGGTATTGTTATAACCTCAAGTTTGGGCTATAGGTTAGGGGGAAGTAGAAGGTAAAGAGGACAGATAGAGAGGGGTTGATCTGGAAGGATTTGTTTTCCACGTTAAGGGGCTTGACCTTTATCTTACAGGCAAGGCAGAGTCATAAAAGTGCTCAAAGAAGAAAAACGACTGGTCCAGTGTGAATTTATGAAAAATTACTCCGGTACCATTTAGAGAATGGATTGCAAAAAGCTGGATGAGTTGGAAAGCTGCAGCTCTGGTGAGAGATGATGAGGGTCTGAAATAGGGAAGCAGTGGTAGGAATGGAAAGGAGTACATAGTTTGAAAAATATTTAGAATTTAAAATCGGCAGAAGTTAATGAGTATTTGAATGTGAAAAGTGAGGCAGAGGAGTCAAGGATGACTCCTTGGTGGCTCAATGGTTAAGCACTCGGATGCTAACCGATAGACTGGCAGTTTGAACCCACCCAGCAGCTCTGCAAGAGAAAGACCTGGAGATCTGTTCCCGTATAGATTACAGCCTAGAAAACCCCATGGGACAGTTCTATTCTGTCACATGGGGTTGCTATGAGTTGAAAATCAACTTGACAGCACCTAAAAACAACAAGAAGAAGCAACGCAGAGGAGAAGGTTTGAGAAGGGTGGAAAAATTAAATGTAGTTTCAAATGCCTATGGAACATCTGGGAAGATATTTCAAGAAAACAACTGGATGAATAAATGTGAAGCCTTTTTTTTTTTTTTTTGGTTGGCTGGTTGACTTTAGGGGTAGCGGAGTTGAGAGAGGTAAAGTTGAGAAAGTATATGCCTCAGTATCAATTTTCTTGTTGAAGGAGGATGTAAATTCATTCTTGTGAGTCAGACAACTGGTATTGAGGAGACTGGTAAAGGTTGGAAGCATGTATTGAGGGAATTCAAGATAGAAATGACCAAGGACAAAGAAAAGACTGTCCTACAATACTGAGGGCCTAAGAGAACTGGAAATTATAAATTTTTAGCAGGGCTTAGGTACACAGATGTAAAAGCAGAGAAAACAGCCTCAGAGCTTGATCTAGGCTTAGGATTTTATGAGGAAGGTACAGCAGACAAGGGAACTGAGTATATTGATAAGGGAGTAGCTTAGGTCAATCATTGGATCTAGGATGTACATGGGGAAGATAAAACAAACAGGGGACTGAAAGACTGGCATAAAAATGAGGAGAAATGAAGGATTTAGATGTCTCTGTAAGGTAAAACAACAACAATAAGAAGCAAACAAAAACTTGGTATAGTGTATGTGAGAAATGTGAGAACATGAACAAGGTGAAGAGGAAGAGGTTGGGCTGTAAAGGTGAAATGCTAGGATTTCTGTGAGGGAATTTCTGTGAGTCAAGGATTTCTGTGAGGGAGATGACAGCAATCTCCAGATGTGGCCATGAATGATGCAGCTGAAGAGA